GTGGCAGTGGGGGTGGTGATGGTGGAGGGTGAGGGTGGGGCGGCAGCGGTGGGTGTGTTAGTTTCTAGCTTCTGAATAATGGAATTTCTTAAAGACAGGAATCAGTTTCTATGCCTTTTGTTTATCAGCAGTCACACATTACTTACAGTATCTGTCGCTTTGAGCTCATCAACATACTTTTCCTTGTTATTCTCAAACAAAGCTAGTACTAGAGAAGGAAGCAGAGTCTGCAGGAAGAATTAATGGCTGATGAGCCAGGCCAGTTATGTGTAAAGCTGAGTGTCCCAGACTTGCAATCTGGAAGAGCCACCACACGCGTTGCCGTTGCCGCTGTTTACTGCCTTGTTATTTTTATCAGCTTTAGTTGCATTTAGTCCCTTCTATTTCAAAAACTACGCAGTAAGAAGCTCTGCTCACTGTGGCAAGGGGCGGCCGCCCGGCCAGCTTAGCCCCAAAATAACCACACAGAAACTTTATTAATTAAATCACTGCTTGGCCCATTAGCTTTAACTTCCCATGGCTAACTCTTACATCTTAGTTTAACCAATTTCTATTAATCTGTGTATTGCTATGTGGCAGTGGCTTACCGCCTAAGTTTTGGCAGTATGTCTTATTCTGGCAGGGGAGCTATGGTGTCTCCTGACTCCTCCCTTCTTGCTCCCAGCATTCAGTTCTGTCTTCCCTGTCTACCTACGTTCTGCCCTATCAACAGGCCAAGGCAGTTTCTTTATTCATTAATGGTACTTACAGCACACAGAGGGGACTCCCACGTCAGCTTACCTTGGACCTGAGGATGAACATCACAGTGACCAAGCTAGAGCCCCAGGGAGAGATAAAGACAAATGATATGTAACATATTTTAATTAGAGAAATCAAAATTAAAATGAGAGAAATACTATCTTGTACCAGTTAGAATGACTATTATTTAAAATTCAAGAAGGTTGGAATAGTGTACACACCTGTAACCTTGGCACTTTAAGGAAAACTGAGGCATTCCAAATTGACTGCTAGCAATTGCTGCTAGGCAAGCTTGGGCTGCGGGCTGCGTAGGGCTGCTTAGAGCTAACACCCTGTCGCACACTCCCCTCCAGACGGTGGAGAGGATATACAGGAACAGAGAACACACACACTGCTGTGTGCATAAATTAGTATAGTTGCTATGGGGATCAGTATGGGAGGTTATTAACAGAAGTAAAAACAGAGCCCCTGTATGATCCAGCTGTATCATCTACCATTGTCATTGCTGTGATAAAAGACATGACAGAGGCAGTTTAGGGAACAGGTTAGTTCAGGAGGGAGAGACATGCTGGGACTAATGTTCTCCTCCCTTTTCCTTTCTCTCGGCCCTTTGGGTCCCAGCGCACAGGCTAATTCTACCCATTCAGAGATGGTCTTCCCTTGGTTCGATCCTCTGGAAACGCCATCACAGAGACACAGCACTCTGAGGACTGTGGCTTCTAGGTTATTCCTAAATCCAGCCAAGTTGACAGTGAAGATTAATCATTGCACCAACAACACCACTGCTAAGTATATATCCACAGGAGCTGAAGTCAGACTGCCAAAGGTGTGACACCATTCACAACAGGAAGGTCAGGAATCGGCATAGGAATCTGATTATCGACGGATGAATGAATAAAGACAATGTGGGAGAAACAGACGATGGAGTTTTGTTTGCTCTCCCTCTCTCTCTCTCTCACACACACACAAGAAATCCTTCTATTTGTAGCAAAATGGAAAAACTGTAGAGGACATTATATTAAGTGTAACAAACCAGACACAGAAAGACAAGCACAGAGTGTTTTTTTTCCCCCTCAAACAAAAATTGACCTGAAGGGTGATTATTAGGGATTAGAAAAGTATATATATGGCAGGGAGGGTAGAGAATAGGAGGTGGGATTTGATCAGTGTACACTGAACACATATGTGGAAATAGCACAGCTATCCTATTAATAGTTACAATTAATGTGATTCAATAAAAATGGAGAGTCTAACTTGAAATTATGACCCAGAGGTTGCTTCTCAGTTCGCTGGTGCCAGGTAACTCTTATCCTTTGATTCAGGGCAGAGTGGGAAGAGGCTGATGGCTGCATTTTCCCTCTGGAGCTTGTTATTTTTCCTCTCAACAGACGGATTATTTGTAAACAAAAATTAAAGATAAAAATCAATTCCCATCATCTTAAAAAAATGTGGTGAGCATGTCCCCAGAGTTATGAGAGCTGCAGAGTAAGTCATTTGCACAGTGCTGTTGGAAGGCAGAGCCCAATTCCCCACAGGTCGGGGTCCAGCGAGCTGATGCTTCAGTGCCCATAGACGGACGTTCTGCTGCAGAAACTGAGGCAACATGATGGATCTTTAGAAAGCATAGCAACGTACTTCAGTGTAGCTTATTAATACATGAGAACACCTGATGGGAGGGCTGCTGTCCTCAGTGGTTTCGACGTGTTAATTAACAAACTTTCTTCTAGAATTAGGTACTGCTATTGTTATTGTTCAATTTCTCAAAAGGAAGAAATAGAGGCATGGAATTGTTAAGCCAGGATGCATACATGGGCAGTTGAATTCGAGCACAGGTTATTGTGGTGGCTTAATGTTACTGGTCAGTTTATAGAAGTGGCCATTGTGGTACCAGCAAATATCACATCCCCACTGATGAACCAGGGCATTAGGGATTAAGTAAGGTAAGAGGCAAAAATATCCAGATACCAGATAATCAGGAAAAGGGAGAAAATCCAGGTCTGCATTTATTTTAGTCGTGGCTACCTGGATTGTTCTTGTGAAGTTTTAAATGTTGTTTTACTCTAAATATGAAAATCTGAGAATGAAATCTATTCTTTTTATGCTAATTAGAATTTAATAAAAGAGGGAAAGGTGTTGTTTTGAAAAGAGACTTCAGTGATGATGACATTCCTGAAGTTACTTATCTTGGTGATACTGAAAGACCTGGATAAACCCAGACCCCTCTAACAGGAAGAAAAGAGCCAAAAATCTAGGTTCGGTTCAGTGACTCTTTCAGGAACTATCTGAAGACAAAGTTAGATTGTAATCTTGAGAATAATCTTGAGAATCAGGGAGTTACCCCCTTGTGATTATCACTGGTATTTTCGGAATTTTCAATGACTTGGATTACTGGTTGTGGTTTCTTCTCTTAAATACCACTTCTCCCCGTACTTGGGGTCGAACTCTTCCCCTGCGTGGGTTATGAGTTTTGGCCCCAGTGCACTGGTACCTGTCAATAAACCTCGAGTGATTGCAGCAAGGATGGTCTCTCGTGAGTTACTGGGGGGATCGTGTTATCCCGAGACTTGAGTGAGAGCCTCCCTACACCGAAAGTCTTTCAATACTGGGAGAGTTTCCAGCACTGGTTGGTTTTGAAGTCACTGTTTTGCATTTTCCCTCACCTCTCTTCCTTCAGCTCCAGTTCCTTCTTTGTTAACAGGTGATCAAGAGGTGATCCCCTGCTCCCAAGGATGCTGAGCGGATAGGCTTGTGGGTTAGGGAATGAGATGAAAGGTGAGTCCTTGTCTGTGTGAGCCTGGATGATCCGGTACCTTTCATGTCTCAGTCTCCTCCAGTGTTCATTGGAGCCGATTCTACCACCTGCCTGAGTCCCCTTAGCAGCCTCCCTGTTCCAGCTGGACTTGGAACATCTGGGAGCTGTTCCCCGTAGCACTGGCTATTCTGACTGGAACGAGTTCCCTCAACTCCTCATTTCCCTTAAGACTTGGCTCAAGAATTCCCTGCCTGCAACTTCCCTGGTGCCCATATTACGTATACATCCTGTTTCTATGCCTAGGTTCTCATGTGCATGGCTTTTTCTTCCCTTTTGCATAGCACTTGTCAATGTTTAGCACAGCTTATAATTAACCTATTTATTATGCCTACGCATTTGCTATCTCTCCGTGATGTTAGAATGTTGGTCTTACGAGAGCAGAGATCTTTGTTTTGTTCATCAATATGCACCTAGAAAAGTGTGCAGCATATATTAGCTAGGAAATAAGTGTTTGTTAGAACCAAGTAATTAGTGGGGCTTCTGTGAATATCTTCCTTGTATATGAGGAAGAAAGACGGTGAAACTGCCTGTTCTTCTCTGCAGCTCATTTTCTGGCCGGGTGAGGACCTGGCCTTTGAGCTGCTGGGGCTCTCACTGTATGAGGAAGAGTCTGGGAGAATCAAAGTCCTGCTCCAGAGCTCTGCTTTGGGTTAACTTTAGAATCAACATCAGCAGAAATCCAGTTCTAACTAACTTCCTGCTTGCGGAAAGCAAAGCAAGAAACAAACTTTTCTTTAAAGTCAGTACTGGGAACGCTCTAATTTGCATCTAAATGCAACCTCAACAGATGTAGTCATTTATTGATTGTTATACAATGCTGGTGATGACGACGACAGCAATAATTACAGTGACATTGCTTAACTCTCATCCCTGGTTCTTGGTACAGCATTCCTGAAACTCTTACAATATTTGCTGAGCCATAAAGGTGATGGGAACATCTTTGTTCTAATGAGGTGACTCTTGCCAGGGCCATGGATAGCTTCAGGATGGGGCTGGTAGCTAGCAAGACCATGTCTGTGTTAGAAGTTTGCTATGTTAGGATCTGCTCCCTAATCTCCAAGGAGGGAAGGGAGCTGGAAGCTAAACGAATCACGGATGATCACGATCACACCAAAGGGGTGAAAGCACCATAGAAACGTCTCCATTTTGGGGTTGGGTGGATACATTTAAGTGCTTGGAGGTGCTGGATGGTGCTGGGCGGGGGCAGGGGAGTCCTCCCGACTCCCATCTGGCTGCTTCTGAGCAGTAGCTTTTTATATCAAACCTAATCCTGTGAGTGAAGAACCTTCCTGGGTTTTAGAAACTGTTGTAGTAAAGTCACTGAGCCAAAGAAGAGGGGGCCATGAACCCCGAGTTTGTAGGCACTGGTGCATGACCTCTGAAGTGAGGAATGAATCTTAACCTGGTCAGCCTGAGCTTCATTCCAGAAATTAGTAGACTCAAACTGGTGGAAAAGGTGCCTCATGTTTGGTATCAGGACAAAAGCCCTCCAGTTCTTGCTTGGATTTGGTAGCGCAATAATGGCAGACGAGGACCTTTGAACCCTGCCTTCTCTGCTATCAGTTACTATTAATAATGGAGTTTAGAAATGCAGACAGATCTGACACCCATGGCTGTGTGACGAAGTACAAAGTAATGTTGGGCTTGCTAAATGCTACTCTCTCTTGACTGTAGTTCTCAATGACTAAGATGAAAGGGAAGACCTAGTGTTCATCACCTAGAACAAACTCTGGTCAGTTTGCACTTAAGCCCCTGGCCTCAAAGTCACCCACAGGGGGGAAGATTGTACTGCGACAAAGGAAGCGCCTCTGAGGACTCGTTACCACGAGGGGAGACCACATGAGGGAAAGGCAAAACCAAGAAACTAATTAAGCTGGACGTTTGTTCCAGGCTTTTCTTTTGGGCCACCAACCAGCTTCCAAATCATAACACAGAGACTGATTAGTTATGAATGCTCAGCCTAGCATGTTTCTGGCTAGCTCTTTTAAATTAACCTGTTTCTCTTTATCTATCTTTGGCCTCAGGGCTTTTTATCTGCTTTATGTATATCTTACTTTCACTGTTTCTCCTGTTTGCTGGCTGCCTGTCTTCTGGCCCCAAAGTGTCTCCTTTGCTCTCATCTCCTCGAGATTTCTCCTCCCACTTATTCTCTCTGCCTGACAGTCCCGCCTATCCTTTCTCTGACCAACTATTGGCTGTTCAGTTCTTTATTGAACCTATCAGGTACGTCAGTCAGGTAAGATGAAACAAATGTAACACATCTTTACATCGTTAAACAAATGCAGCATAAACAAATGTAACACACTTTTACAAAGTTAAAGTAATATTCCACAGCATAAACAAATGTAACACACTTTTACAAAGTTAAAGTAATATTCCACAGCATAAACAAATGTAACACACACAGTTAAAATAACACGCTAGAGCAAGCATTCATTGAGTTGTGGTGTCAGGCAGGGATGTCGTTAGGATATGGTGATGGGTGTTCGGGAAGGAGAGTACAAGTAATCGTCTCGTTTTGTGTCATCAACTTCCCGAAGAAACTTGACTGAAATGGATTTGAGATGACTAATTTGGGAGCAGGACATGTGGGGGTTAATACAGAACTTTTCCCTCTAGTGAGCAATTGCTCACTACACAGGGTGCAGATACACAGGAGCTTATTCCAGAGGTAGCATCTAGCCTGAATGAAACAGGCAGACTGGATGCTAGTTTCTGGGATGTGTGCGCTTATACTGAGAGGGGAGACTGTTCCAACCCTCTGTAACTGCCAAGCAGCACATGCTAGGTAAAGCCACTGACATGTTCATTTGCAAGCCATACATTGCCGACTTTACGGTAAACTGCTCACTCCTATCACATGCCAGCCTCCTGAGTCATAGTAAATGTGAACCAGAAGCCCCCTGCCACAGGGTTCCCTCATGTCATCTCCCCTCTGTGTGACAGAACAGCCTCACTGGGGCCGCAGACTGTATTCCCAGGTGTTTATGGTAACCAAGATCACCAATTGGTAAGAAGTCTAGAGATACAGAGGGGAACACCACAATCAGTGGTTCTCAGCCAGCATGACTCATTAGGGGGTCACCTAAGACCTTCGAAAACACAACTGTTTATATTATCATTTCTAACAGTAGCAAAATTAGTTATGAAGTAGCCGTGAAAATAATTGTATGGCTGGAGGTCACCATGCCATGCGGAACTGTATTAAAGGGTCACAGCATTAGGAAGGTTGAAAACTGCTGACCAATGGGCTTGTCTCAGCCATCTTTTCCTGGCTAGCATACGTGGAATGAATGTGGCAGACACTGGTGGAGTCCAAATAACAGTATGTTCTCACACTATCAAGGGTGAGTCCTTGAACAGTGGGATCCTTACTGTTCTCCAAGCCGTCAAAGCCTCACAAGTTGTTTTCAGTTCTCTAAGTTTGGAAGAATTAAAGTCCTGAACTAGTTGAGCACCTGGGAAATGCTAGACTGACTAAGGAAAAGACTGACTGAAAGTTGGGCCTTTCTGTGAACACATTGGCACAGGAGATGGGTAAAGACCCAGAGTAATCAACTTTTACCTGCCAGGGGTGGGCCAGTGTCTATGAGTTTTGTCAAGCCTAGAACAACATTGAAATATTGGAGATATTGGCTCCAAGGTCTGAATGAAATACTGAAAATTGAAATTTGTAGTCTTTAATTGAATGTTACAGAAGGTACCATGATTTTCATTTATTAACTGCCCCTCAACTAATGCAGGGTATACCGCGTTTATCTCACAGGGGCCAGAGGTGCACTGTACAGTGTTTTTTAGTGATATTGGTGGGGCCTTCTGAGATCAAAATGCCTTAGTGTTTACCACTCTAAAGCTAGTGGGACCTGGGAGAACATGGCCTAAGAACCAGGCCAACTAAAGTCTCATGCAATATCCAGCCTTATTAAGAGCATCAGACAGTTTCTACTCTGAGAGTTAAGAAGAGTTATATGAGTAAGGTGTTCACCTACAAGGTCAAACTGCATGTGGCAAAAACATGTTTTTCCATAGAGGCCTATAAGCAACACTAGCCAGTTGTAACGAATAGTCTGAAGTAAACTCACTCCTATCTGCTACATCTGGGAGGGGCACAAACGCAGAGTCCAAGAACAATTTCCCCCTCCCCCCCCCCCAGAAACTGAGGTCACTAGACTCTTGTTTTCTTAGAGTTTCCTTTCTGGCACTGAGAATTCCCCTTACACAACTCCATTTTTGAACTGTGTTTTGGCACCCGAGAGCTGAAAAAAAAATTAAAAATCTTTCTAGAGAGAAACTCTAAAGGCCATCTCAAGAATCTCATTTCAGAGATAACTTCCTGGAAGAGGTCTCACCAGGCTGGGACCTGAGGGGTGAATGACAGAGTCAGATAAAGCAGAGGGTGCAAACAGAGTCTAGCGGCAGCATTTGAAGCGGTATTGGTGGTAACCCCGTAAGTAGGAACTCTGCTTATTCCTCTCTGTGAATGATTGCTAGCATCTTAGCTTCTTTGTGGTAGGTGTGCAATGCCAGCAGATTTGAGAACACACCTTTCATGTCCTACACTGGTTCTAGAGCCTGCCAGGAGCAAATTAAAGCAATTGCTCTTCACTGTGGGGCTGACAATCGATGAAGACAATGAGTGGTCAGAAATCTATACTGCAGGAGCCCAAATAATCTGTGTCTGTTTCATAAACAGAGAAA